ACCACCATCTTCCCCAAGTCCTCTGCTTTCACCAGCTGTAACCACCAACCTTGTTCATCACTTTATAGCCTACAGAACCACGATAGTTAACGATGATAATACTTAGGATTTCCTAGTTGACCAAGTGAGAGAGTTTGGAATGTCAGGAGCCATAATGGGACAAGCTAATAACTAGCAGGTGATCATCCTGAAATGGCCTGCCTTGGATTATTATATAATCTACGACAGATGTGCCCTTACTCAGCAAGGATGTAAGGGATTCATTTTAGGAAAGATTCTTGCTATTAATATGCTTTTACTATTATTATTAAACATATATAACAATCACTAAGTAATAGCACACCCCTTTGGAGCAGATCTCTGCAGATCCACGAAGATATACTGTCTTGTGGTGATGCTATATAGACAAATAGACGACTTCTTAAGACTTAATGATGATCCTATAAGAATTCCTAAAATTCTATCAGTGATTTTATTAAGCTCTTTTATAGTGGGACTGCTATTAGGTCCTTTTCTGATAGTCAAAACTGCAATGACAACTCTGCCATTCTCCCAAGTGTCACCAAGTAATTGCTCTTAGACAGTAACCAGATTTCTCCTACACATAGCACATTCCAAGAGGTTGTAAAACAATTAACCAGAGGTCATAAAAAGGGAACTAACAATTTATTATAGGTGCCAGGACAGGTAAGATAAAATATTGACTGGGTTTATCTATACAAAACTTAATAATTTAGTTATGGTTTTAAACCTTCAGTGAACCTGTGGAGCTGTGACAGGTGATGGATGTTTAGTCAGATAATTACTTATAATGAATATGCATGTAAACATTCTCTGTTGTAAACTTCTATTTCAATTAATGATTTGATTTTTTTGTGTGAACTTGTGATGAACTTTGTAACATGTGATCATGTACTCTGAAAGATGTATAAGTACAGAGGACAAAGGGATGAGAGACAGAAGATAGAATAAAATTTTTTCCCTTCCCCTAGATAAAGTAGAATTTTTCCTTCCTCCCCGCCCCCGCCTAGTAGAAATTTTCCCTTACTAGAATTTTTTCCTTTTCCCCACATAGGATCTTTCTGCTTTTCCCCTTAGATAGCTTTCATAGGAAACTTTTTACAACTTAATAATAAACGCTATAACCAGTTTTTTTCTAAGTGTCCCTTTTCTTTCTGTGAATTCAGACTACCAGGGGAAAGTTAGAGCCCAGCAGTTCCTACTGAGATAGAACAAAGGCCACATTGCCTAATCCTCAGCTGTTATGTTACAGATGTACAGATCACCTAAGCCTTTTACAGATCACCTAAGTCTTTTACCCTCAGAAAGAGCAAGAGAGCTTTCAGGACATTTTAGAAGTTATCGTCAGCATTTCAGTACAGTTTGAGAGCTAGACAGTCCTGAGACCCTCAGACTTTAAAGCCATCACCAGAGTCCTACTCTGTGCCCCACCACTACCTTCTCTGGGCTAGGAGGCTCCCAGCATTGGAAGAGAAAGTGGCTTTATGCCTTCAGATTTCCCTCCACCCTGCCCATCACCAGGGCTGTCCAAATGTATTAATGGCAAATGCTTTCTAGGCTGGGTTTTCTCTTCACCTTAGAAAGGCATCTAACTTTCAGCACTTCAATAAATATAAAGAAAACACAGAGCACAAAAGAGCCAGACTTGTATTAGGCTTCATGAAACAAGGGAAAGAACAGTTGGTGCCAGTGCAAATATCAGAAGGCATTTAGTAATTCATTGGTTGATTACCTGTATTTCTTCAGATTGAGTTGCCAGAGCAGGGGCCTGGCTTGTGCATATAGAACCTACCTTGCATACACACAGACAAGTCTGGCACATGCAAGAGATAAAGATTAAGCACTGCTCATAGCAACCACTAGAACGGACATGTCTACAGCACATAACCAATAGTACCAGTAGGGCAAAAAGGATCTATGTGGGTGCATGTGAACTGATAAAATGCCAGTCCCTGAGAAATCAACCAGTTAGATGCTATAAGCTAACAGCGAGCCCCCATCAGCACCTTCTGATTACAAATGTTTTCCTTCGGAACCAGGTCCACCAGAGAAATTAGGCAATTTTGACAGTACTTTACAAACTGATTAATCAGAAGTTCCCCCTTGCCCTCTATAACCACTAAATGCCACACAAAGGCTCTCCCAACACTTATTTGTAGAGTGACAGAACATTAGCTGCAGACCTAATGTCACCCTGGTTGTAATTTGCATGTTGATAGAAAGCTAACATAATAAAGAGATGTGAAATGAAGCTGGCTGACTAGGAGGAGTGGCCCTGCTAAGATCCATTTCTCTATCCTCATTAGCCCACGGTTTGGCTTACTGTGTTTGTGCTTTCTCTCATTACTAAGGAAATTGTAAAATATGTCCCCAGGGATGCATTATCCAGGCTCCTGGAAATCTGCTTATCAGTTTGCAGAACGGACTGTGAACCCAGGGTGTTCTCCCGTTGTTAGGAAAGCCAGTGTTCTGCTCTGGAAGCAGCCTCTCACCAAGGGTTTGGAAAAGAGAGAGTATGGATTCGAAAGAGAATGAAATGGTAAATTTTCTGGGGATAGATTTACAGTGTAAGTTTATACAATGCTTGTTAGGATAAGAACAGGAGGCCTTTGGGGCACTGAATCCACACTGGGGCTTATGGTAGGAAAGAAAAATGACACAAATTACCATTTTCTAATGACCAGAGCAGTATGGGATGGATACAGGATTTTTTTTTTTAAAAACATATTAATAAGTTATGGGTAAACAGAAAAAGTCAAATTATTTAAAAGTTTCTCCTTTTCTTTTCTTCTTTTTCTTCCATATTTTCATTCTGCTGGAGAGAAGTAAATACAGAACAGGGTCACTATGGAGTCTGGTTACTGGAGAGTTCTGTCCCTCCATGTCTATCTGCCTGATCTACAGACTTGACACCATGCATACTGCCACTTCATTTAAAGGAGAGGAAAACAATCATACCTCTCCTTGGTGTTATGAGTCATGTGGTCTACAGAGCAGAGGAAGGAAAACTGGCAAACTTCTGATGCGCTGGCTCACTGTGTCATGAGAGAGTGATCCGGTCTCTCAGGTGATGGGGCAGACTTCCTTCCCTATAACTATACCTCATTCAAGGACCTAAGGATTCTAAGCTCCTTTTAGAATTATAAGCAGGGAGAATTCTTCGAACTAGGCTGTTGGTCACTGACCAAAGGGTAGACTCAGAGAAACACGAGAGGTAATGCATGGTTTGAAACCTTGAAGATTCTCTCAAATGCTACATTATCATAGATGAGAACATTTTCCTTCTATGAATCTGTTATTACAAAGGAGTGGAACTAACAAAGAAGGAATAGTTAGGAACAAATCCCAGGGAGTGAGTTTATACAGAAAAAGCCACTATTTACCATACTTTTCAAGTTCAAACTGAAGCAAATAATATTATCAGATACAGTGGCCTAATAACATTTTATTGAAGACTAATGAGTTCAATCCTTCTCATAACGTAGAGCTATGAAACCAGACTTTCCCAGTTTAGTGAATGAACCTTGGGGTGATTCTTCAATGTCCCCCACATTGACTCCTGTTCACCAGATGTAAACAGTTTTCCTATAGCCTAGCAATATGGAGTCCTCAGAAACTTGCTTTGCTGTATTTCAGGGAAGCAAAAAAGGAACTGGAATTAAGGCCAAGCAAGCAGGGACTAGACCTGAGTTCTTGGAGCCTAAGGAGGATAGAAATAAAAGTTCCCACTTACACAATTTATTTCAAAATTAGGCTCTGTAAATCTAGATACAAATTGACCTGAGAACACAGGAGCGGAGTTCTGCAATTCTGTTACTGAGAGACACGGGGAAGGAGAAAAAATACTCATAGATCCTCCTCTAAGTCTACCTCATGGGAGCTTCTGCCTCGATATGGGCGGGACAGGAATGACGATAAGGGCACCAGATGACTCTAAGGATGAAAAACCAACAGTTGGGATGAAATGAAGGCCTGTGGGATCGTTGGAGACGCCACAGCAATGCTGGCACTTCACATGATTAAAGTTTAGAATAGAAAAGCACAAGGGGATAAATGGACTGCTGGCAGGCTCTGAACACCTTACCACCCAGTCTCTGGGTGGAGATGAACAATGCCACTGAGCTTTCCCAAGCAGCCACTGGAAGGTTTTGAAACCATGAAGAAAAACCTCCGAGGGAAAAATGTAAAAGAACAAAAGCAACAACTCCACATCGTCCGCACAACAATGGAGTGGAAACGGTTCTTGTAGTCTCTGAACGAGGAGAGGCGCAGGTGTCAGCCTTGTATTCTACCTGGGTTTAAAATCCTCAGAAAACTCTCCTAGCCCTTAAGCATAAGTCAGCTGTGGTACAAGCAGTGTCAGTGTAATGAGTTTCAAAAAAGCTCCAGTGAAGAGAACAAGCTGAGTGGTATCGATGAGTCTGTTCACGGGTGACGATATGTAGGAGGCAGCATAATCAGGATGCCAGGGGAAGCGCTGTGACCAAGGCTTTTGGCTGATCAAAATGCTTCTTTTTTTTTTTTTTAATAAGTATGTATAGTAAAGTACAGGAAGAATATAATAAGCCATGTAACTAAACAAGGTGGGCTTTCTTTTCTAAAGCTGGACACCCAGCCAAACAGCTGCACACTGCTGTCTATGAGTGACTTATAAATACTGACACCATCGATACATGGCCTTCACCAGGCACAGTCTACACACAACTGTGGATGAAGACGTACAAGTCCCTGATGTACAGGGTCCACAGAGGGACCAATTCAATCCTAGACATTGAGTGCTGGGCTGCTCTTTGGATCCTACTGTAGGCACCCTTTAGAGGGCCAGGAAATTTCACATAATATTAACTACTTTGGTACCAAATAGAAAATAACAAGGGGTTATTTCTCACAGCAACCAGGATACACTCCATGGGGATTTGATCTCCAATAAAAACAGCATGGCCAAGAAAGCCACAAAATAAGCACATTAAATATTCTTAGACCCTGTTGTTTTAAAGCTGGAAAATGTTACCAAGTCAGTTACAAAGAGTCTGGATAGGCCTTTGATATAGAGGAAAGAAGGGAGGAGCTAAAGAGCCGACAGGCATTTGTTCAGAGTTTGAAACACCAGGGAGTCTTCATGTACAAATAAACCTGACTCTGTGGTCTCAGAATCTGAAGAGTATTGCTCTTGGGATATGCAAACGGTCATTTGTTACAAGCATGAAGGCAGTAACATGCCATGCCAGCTAGGAGTAAGAGGACTTGTTAAAAACTGTGTTTTCTTAGAGGCTACTGGTTAGAGCACCTCCCTTTCTACACTCCTTGTAAGCAGAACTAGATTCTGTACTATTTTGTGAAGAAATCAATGTTCAAATCAATTGACAGAAAGTGATGACATGTGGCACTCACTCAGGCATAGTCAGCGAAAAGCAAGTCAAATCTGAGCCAAATGTCTGAAGGTTAGCCATTAGGTCAGGCTGGAATCTTGTCTCAGCAAATTCACACAGAAAATCTACTTCTAGATATTATATGAATACTGAAGGACAAACACTTTTAAAATAAACATTTCTGAAATATAACACAAACCAAGAAACTGTTATTGGTGAATAGACTTTCAGATCAGAGTGTGCATCACAATCATTTTAAGTTTTGATAATGTTGCTGGTAGACAGTGCCTGTGTAGCTCATTAAGTGGTGTTTCTAGTTCTGACAGAGACTAGCAATTTACAAAAAGACATTTAGGTCCAAAGTCTAGTCTGTAATTCTTGCAGTTTTTCTTCCGGAAGTATGGGCTACTTTTTTTTGTCCCCCCTTGATCAACCACTTGAGACAACCCAGTCACAGAACTACTCTCTGGGGAGGAGGACTACTCAACAGAAGAGAGGAAGCACTCTTCAACAACAGCATCTATGTCATCTGTCCACCTGCACTGAGTTTGTGTGTGCACTGTGTCTGTGTTGGGGCAGAACCCAGGTCTCTTCTGCATGCTAGGAAAGCGTTCTGGTACTCAGCCATATGCCACATCTCTCTCTCCTTTTTATTTTTAAACAGGGGCCCACTAAGTTGCCTAGGTTGGTCTTGAACTTGTGATCCTCTTGCCTCTCTCCGAAGAAGATGAGATAACATGCTACCAGGCATGGTTTACATTGATAAGCTGTAAGAAGAACATTTCCTCCAAGGCTAGAAACCATGTACATGACCACAAAATACTGTACTGTTATCCACCCTTCCCTTTTCATGTACACTTTTAAATAAAAATAAATAATAAAAGGAAGGCGATGAACTGCTAAAGACAATTATAGAAATAAAAACCCAACTACTTCAAAGTACAGTTTCATTCTGCTTCCTTAAAAAGCAATGGAAACACATGGCCCAGAGGAATATACAGAATCATGCTGTAAGCGGCAGGAGACATGCTTTCTTTTCAGAGTTCAAATGCAGGGAACTTGGCCTTTGTGGGGACTAACAGGTCAGACAAGAAATATATCGTTCCAGCCATCCCTAAAGGAACAGAAAGAAGCACAAGTTACTACACCAAATGGCTCCATTTCTTAAAGTGGTTCTTTTCTTTTTTATCATCAACTTTAAGTCATGGGAAGCATCCTCTAATTCATAAGCTGCGTTCAACATGAGAGGCCCCTAGTGGGGTTCTTGGCTCTTTTTATCCAGGTGAAGATAGGAGACAGAGTGGAGGCAAACAAGTTTAAGCTACTTATTCATGGCACTCACTTCCTGTCACTTGGCCACATGTTGAGTTCCTTCACCACAGCCTCATGGCCACTTACCTCCTGGAGGCTCGGTATCTATGCCTGGCTCTATAAATGCTGGCCACCATTATGGCTACTCATATTGTAGTCTGTGGTAATATGCTCACTGACTCATTTTTTTTGGCACAGGGTTTCATGTAGTCCAGGCTGGCCTTAAACAAGAAAATGGCCTAGGATGACTTTGACTTGCTATCTTCCTATCTTTACTGTCTCCACTCCTTGAGTGCTGGGATTATAGCGGAGATTGTGGGTATGGGCCAATATGCCCAGTTTACGTAGTGTGGAAGACGGAACTCAGGGCTTCAGATAGACTAAGCAAGCACTCTGACAACCGAGCTCTGATGCTAACTGACCTGACACATCAGGAAATAAGGAAGTAGATGTTTAAGAATGAACTGTAAAAACCAGTTTGTGGTTACACCTGGAATTCTAACACATTATCACCAAGCAGAGTGGTAATTGATCATATTAGAAGCTAAGTCATGTGTGAAAAATACCTTCAAAGAGGGAGAACGGGGTGTCCGGAGTCCTGCATCCGTGTTCTCCATAGTCTAAGCACCACTCAGCAAACTGAAAATGAGACCGCGTTAAATTACTGTAGTTATTTCCTCCGATATCCTAGGAACTCACAACAACTGCCTGTGTTACTTGGAATAATTCCCTATCAAGATGAGGAGAAAACATTGAGGAACAGGTGGTTCGGAGTCAGGGGCATGGCTTGTAGGAGTTTAATGAGCAGTCGGAACACTGAAGCCAAGGGTGCCAAAGAACAAAATGACCCTCCATCCTTCAGCCTTTGCTCCTTCAAATGTCCAGGCAGAATCTACCCTTTAAAGGGTCAGTAACGGAACTGAATAGTTCTGAAGGTTTTTCTTAAAGAACATGTTTGTTAACTCTAAGCTCATGGACCCTTTCAACTTCCCAAGGAGCTGCTTCCCCGTGCACAGCCTGGCTCTTACCTTACAGGCCCTGTACAGGTACTTCACATCTTGTGTGGCGTTGTAGAGTGCCAGGAAAGCGTAGGCATTCCCTGCAGCACCATGGCACAGCCCGTAGCCCTTCTTCAGTAGCCCGTACTTCCAGATCACGTCAGCACACTGTTGGGCGTCACACAGGTAATGCTCCTCTTTGAACACCTGCAGAGTAAGGACATACTGAGTTCCTTCTGTCATCAGGGGTATAAAGTTCTTCCTGCCTGGGAAGGCCAGGCGGGGAAGTCTTAGAGGAGGCGGCATGGCAAGAAGTAAGGAATGCAACAGGAAGTTTGGTATTTTCAATGACAAACTCTTAACATTGACTTGTATCATAGTTAGGTTTCATCAGCTTGACATAAGACTAGGCACACTTGGGGAGAGGGAACCTCCACTGAGAAACTGTCCTCATCAGACTGGTGGGCATGTCTGTGGGGTGTTTCCTTGATATCTGATTGATGTGGGAGGAAGGCCCAGTCCACTGTGAGTGGCGGCATCCCCTGGCAGGTAGTCTTGGGTTGTATGAGAAAGAAAGCTGAGCAAGGCAGGGGAAGGCTACTAGTAAATAGCATTCCCCCATGGACTCTCCTTCAGTTCCTGCCACCGGTTCCTGCCTTGGCTTCCTTCCCTTCATGCTAACCTTTCCTTCCCTTCCCTACTCCAAGCTGCTTTTAGTTAGTGTATTACCACAGCATCAGAAAGCTAACGTAACTAGCTTTGCTTTTTAAAAATAACTGGCCCTGATCATGTCTTTGGTTTAAGCTTTATGTGTGTGTGGTATGTGTGTGTATGTGTCTATGTGTAGTGTATGTGTGTGACTGATGCAGCAGCAATAATGAACTGGCCACTTGCTCTTATCACTAATCCCCCTCCAAAGTTGCCATACAACTTGAATAACTGTCAAGTGCTTGATTTGTTTAAGAACCAGCAATCTTTCTGTGCCATTTCATATGTTCAGGATTCTGCTTTCAGTCATGCTTCTGGGGTATTTATCTTGGCTCTGGCACTTTTGTTATCATCCTGGTTACTCTGTCAGTGAAGCAGCTTCCAGTGCTATGAGACGGTTGGTGTCCACGATGGTAGGATGGACACTGTGAGAATGGATGCTAACCTGTTCATCACAATTACCTTCGATCCAACAGCTGTTCATAATCCTTTCATGACTGAGAATAGTGTTAAGTTATGAACGTGTTTGCTATTTTGTTGTTGTTAACCAAGAAAACATGAGGTACCTTGTATGCCTGGATGAGCATATAGATGACCCCAGGGGCACCGTGGCACCAGTGGACAAGCAGGTCTCTGGTGTCATCCAAACATGGAGGGTAATTGCCGGAAGGGAACTTCAGCCGGCAGACAAAGTCTATGCTGGGCTTCACCAAACTATGTAACTTTCCTTGGCTCACCTGAAGGCTGGGCTAAAAAGAAGAAACAGGATTATTAGTTCTGCTGATGAAAATGACATTCCTAGAACTCAAATGAGTTTAAAACTAAACCAGAAAAAAAAAAATCATGCCTAATAGAAAATGTGAAGTCATTAAAAGGCTTCACATCTCTTCTGATTTCCTCATCTGCTTGACAGTCTTGTTTTAATCTTCTTTTATGATTGTTAAGAAAAGGAACAAATGGCAGTCGGGCCATTATTGAACTCTTAAGGCCTCTGTGTTATTTCCAACAACTGCTGTTATGGACATATTCACAAGTACTGTTCCCAAGTCAAAGCTTGCAAACAAGGGTAAAATAGATGTCTTCTGGGTGCAGAGATACACTGACCACCAAGCTCGCCTTCCACTTTAAGACAGCGGTGGTGGATGCTGTCTGAAACAGGCAAGGACACGAGAGAGAATGGAGGACCCAAGACCTGATGCAGAAGTGCAGTGTGCTTCAACACCAAATTGGAAATGACTGTTATACTGGATTATTCTGATACTAGGATAGAGATTTATAAGTCATGGTGATGCAGAGCACATGGATGTTGCTTGAAACGTAGTCTAGTCATTTTCTTTCTGATGCTGTTGATTCAAATTCAGGGCCTGTTCCTTCTTTAAAAGACACAGTGGGGCATGCAGGATGAGGGATGCACAGTCGGGACGGTGCTGGAAATGACGAGACGCAGTGTGTTCTTAGCATTCTGTGTTCTTTAAGATGTGTAAGAATAGTACTTTACATGAAGAATATTCAATATAAAGTATTAAAGCGGAATGAGTCACTCCCCAGGAGTTATCCAACACGGCCTAGAAGTAATGCTGTTCAATGTTATGTTAGTAGCTAGGCATAAACACCAACAGATTTTCATTACTAAAACATTCATCATTTTGAATAGATAACAACCTGGAAATAGAAAAATCAATACTGTTGTTTTCAGATTTCTTATTAGAGCTAGCAAAAAAGAGAGGCAGGATAGATACCTCTTGACTATCAGATTTAATGACAGGTCAAAAAGGCTACCTATTCACTGACATGTACGATTTTGACTCACCTTGAATGTCAGAAAAAACAAATCTTCCTTTCATGAAAGATGTTTAAGAATCTATCTACATGTAGTTCTAAAAATAAGAACCACCATGGGAACACTGCAGAAAAAGGAATTTAAATCTTGGTTATCAAAAATGCTAATTATACAACTTCTACTAGAAAAGAGAATAAGTGAATGAATGAATGAATGAATGAGTGCAGGTTGGCCTCTCGTCACTGCTCCCAGACTGTGACTCTACTCTAAAGCAATCACAGGTCGAGGAGAGGTATGATATGGTTTTGTATTCTTGGAGCTAGACAGTGACATATACATCCATGCACACATGCAGGACACACGAGTAGACAATGCCTTCCTTATGTGACACTGTGATTTGTAAAGAAGAGGCACTTGCCTCTGCTGCCATAAACAATCCATTTTCTCTTGTCATAAATTCTCATTTGCAAACACCAATTGTTGCTTTAGACTAGGCACCTCTAAGTTCTCTGTTTGACCTTCCCCAAATCAAGTTTATTAGAGTGAGTTTTATTTGTCTTTGGCCTTTCTAACTTAGGGTGATGCCTCCTATTACTGTCAGAACCTAAGAACTATGGGGCACAGCACAAAATCCACTGGGTAGTCTTCCTGGCTTTGCTCTCCCAGTGAGCCTTAGGCAGTGTGTGCTCACTGGGTTTTGTTTTTTTCTTTTATTGATTTTTGTTTTTACTCCTGAAGTTCGTTTCAGTGGGCTTTCTTTCTAATAGGGAGATACTTGTAACTCAAGGCATTTTGTGAGAGAGAAGTGCTGTGACACTTGAAGGAGCACCCTGGCTACTGCATCTCTGTTGAGGTCAGATGAATGCAAGGAGTGTGATGTGGTGAGTGACAGCCAGGCAGACAGAATCGGGATCTGCTCCCCAGCCAAGAGAGCTTAGAATCTCACGTTACGTATCCCTTACCTGCATCAGGTAGTAATAAATGCCCGCCAGGCCATGAGCAGCCCCCACGTAATATTCCTGGTACCACTCATACATCAGTGGGGACTTTGCTGCAAAGTTTCTCTTCCTAGATAGGTTTTCCCCAGAGGTTAAGATAGTTTCACAAATCTACAGGGAGAAAGCCAAGCAAAATAACAACATGGTTAGACATGAAATGCTCTTGGTGGAGGCGAGGACTACTTGTTAAGGACTGAATTACTGGAAGGGAATCAGACTCTCTACCTTCCACCAGGAAGTACGCAGTTCTCTTCTGAGATGTATCAATGTATTCTGCCTAGCAGACTGCTGGCTGGGGAGGACCCCCAACTCTCTTTATTAGCACTTTTAAGAATTTAAGAATATTTTAAGATATTAGCACATCTTTCAAAGAAAAGTACAAACTCCTCCTGGCACTGAAGGAGATACTTGTGTCTGAGACATGAGATCTGGCCTCCATCTCCCCCAGAAAAGGCCTCTGAATGATCAAATGGGTTAGGAGGCCTTCTGATTCCCTTGGCTCCTGACAGGGCTTTCCACAGACGAGTGTGAAGCTGCTGGCTCTCTGACTGTGCCTCACCTACAGAGGTCATACACACAGTCTTCCTACATGGGATGCACTAAGTGGAGAGACAAAGAGTAAGTAAGCAGCTGCCTAAGACCCTCCTAAACCCACAGGACTGGATTACCTGTTGAATATGGCTCTGAGGGATCTTCTCCTCTCCAAAGTTCTTATTGACAAAAAGCAGAGCAAAGATGTAGCCTATGCGGCCATAGAGCATTTCATTTGGTACGTGGGGATCAATCTTATTTAGGTGAATGAGCCTAGGATTAGAAACATGTGTCTATGATCAGACAGGCGTCAGACACTGCCATATCAAGTGGTCCATTAAAAAAATATAAACAGCAACACATAAGCATACATACCTAAAATCACAGTTAAAATTAGCCCCATAATGAGTTCACAATAGAACTGGTCAAACACAAGGAAAATGTGGAAGTGAGGCCGAAGCTCCCTGATTTTCCCTAGAGGCTCACGTATGCTGGCTCTGAGACTGGTGTTTAAGCAGCAGGCATGGGGGAGCTAGGCAGTGCTGCCTCACAGCATTTAGTCTGGTCTAATGGATGTTCGGAGAGCTACTGGCCAGCATCCCACTCACTTGCACTGCAGCCTGGCCTGCCAGCCACAATGTAACACATGCAAACAGCCTCTAGCTTTTTTCTTTAGAGACAATCCTGGCTACCAAGTTCTTTTTTTTGGATGTGTATTTCTAGATCTATGTACATGTAAGAACAGATACATGTATGTATAACTATGAATCTAACCCAGCACATTTCTGCAACACATTTCAAGACCTATCGAGCACGCACATTCTTTATAAGTTGCAAAACAATATCCTGTCGAACTGCACATATAATTTATTAGGTTCTCACTGCTGCATGCAGTGCAGCTGTCTCAAAGTTTTTATGGGTTCTGTTTCCAGTTAAGTAGCACCAAGTGGACCCCACCCTTCCCTCTCCCATTAAATACAATGCCAACAACCTGGACAACTAGACAACACATACAAGGTAGCTATTTGAGTATTCTGGAAAGGAAATGGCAGCTAACAGTGGGGCAGAATCTGGAATACTAAATTGGAGGTTTTCTTCCCCTTCCAATATTCCTTTGGCCTGACCTCAGTACAGCCAAGAACACAGGGTACCTGCTGGCTGACAGAGATCCCAGAAGAAGTTCTGTCTCAAGGATGAACAGGAAAGGAAGGTCCTTAAAAAACTAGACTGGGTTTCTCTGTCTCTGTCTATCTCCTCACAAGCCAGGGATTAGGCATCAAAAGCCCCAAGCAGAAACAACCACAACAGGGTCCCACAGGAGCCAGATGTGTAAGGGAGAGACTAGAGGCACTGTGGTTCCCTGGGAGGGGTAAACCGTGCTGCTTACCTAACTTCTGTGTCACTCAGCCCAGACACAGGCACAATGAGGAATGTACAGCTGGGCAATGAAACCCCAGGCAACCAGAAAGTAAGGGGAAGACCCCAGGAGAAGTACACTTGGAAAAGAATACAGACTTAGGTAGCTGAAACTTTGAGAATGAGTTTGTGTGAATTTTTGTTTTGTTGAGGGGGGGATGTTCTTGCTGTCTTAGAATTTTTAATCACATGGAGTTTGAGAATGCACCTCAATTTTCTCTAAATCATCTATGAACTTCAACTGGGATCCCATTTAAGTTATTAAAACACTTCACATTTTGATTAAAAGTTGACAAAATGTTATTAGTATAAAAACCCAGAGAGTTTCCGGAAAATCAAATGTTATCTGGTATTTTACAATACTCCATGTTCCATCTCTAAGAATGAATCCTGACATTAAAATTCTGTGGTCAAGGTGGAAACTCCCTTTTGGATCATCAGCGTATGGCTGACCAGCACTGGCAGTATTACAACAACTCATAGGGATGAATGGCTGTATTGTAACTGTAACCAGGAATCAATAGTGACAGTGACTCAACACGTTCTACCAAAATCCATACCAAGAACTGGTTAATAAAAGCAGTAAGGGATTTGAGGAAATGGCTTTCTTGGTGAAATGAGCTGACAGGATGGCAGGTGTGGACTCTGTGCTGCCTTCCTTGTCCTTTAATGCTAGTCCAGGGGACACTGTGACTTTCTCTGAGCTACAGCAGCAAGCTCTGAGGCTATCATATGTGTTGTTATTTCCAATAAATATCTGCCCATTTGGTAGAACTAGGCTATTGCCCACACTTTTATTTAACACACATAGCTAAGGTAGCACACAGCCATAACCCTGAGGTGAACAGTATTTACCCAGATCAAACCCACAAGAAATTCAGGCACACAAAACCATGTAACTGCTCCAGCAGGTCAGCTGCACATCAGTGCATACAGCAGAGAGGCTCTAGGCAGAAGAGCATTGTGAGACAGGAAATATTCCTCTCACACTTCCTTCTCCACCTCAGATCTATCACGTAGGGAGGGAGGCACACTTGGTGCCTTAAATGACGGTCTGTTTCTGTAAGCACAATAAGGTGACTGTGTCTGAAGTAGCCGACAGGCTTGCAACAGGGCTGAGGAAAGGTATAAGGGACTCCTGTTTTAAAAAGTTAAACACATTTTAAAATTAGATTTACTCTTTGTATACATGAGTGTTTCATTTAGTGGTATGTGTGCAGCACTCGTGTGCCTGGTACCTGTGGTGGTCAGAAGAAGGTGTATGGGATCCCCTGGAACTGGAGTCATGGAGGTTGTGAGTCACCATGTGAATGCTGGGAATTGAACCCAGGTCCTCTACAATAGCAACCAGTGCCCTGCTCTTAATCACTGAGCCCTCTCTCCATTTCTAGAATAAAGGGTATTTTATGGTTGTTTGCTCCTCGGTAGAAAAAAGGGGCTTAAAGAAGAATGACATGCTGCAAGTGACTGACACACCTCAATTAGCCAAGTATATAAAGGCTAGCCCCATCTTCTTTATTCCCCTTCCCAACGACAGGAAACACACTGGCAGTGAACGGTGTCTCAGGGTCAGGGTTACCATGGCAGACGCTTGTCTCCTTGTAATACTCAGGCCATGTGAGTGGCTGATCTCCGTAAGGTCGTTTCCCTCCCTCCC